CTGGTGTTTTAGCTTCAGGACAATTCGATTTAAGTAAAATTTCAATTTTAGGGCTTAAGAGGCTAATAACGGGCTAGACACCTTCGCTTACGTTTGTTATACATTACTTGAGGGTTGATATAAACAAGTCCACAGATACCACCCGTGTAGTCCATTGAAATACTATCCGAATCCAGCAAAGGTCAAATGCAAGCAATGTATATAATAAATGTTCCTTGTTTGTTTTTTTACTTTTCTCCTGCACTTGGGCTGTCTTACTTCTGATTCTTTCTCGATGGCCCAGACTGTATTTAACATGTTGCTCGAGCAGTATGCAGCTTTTCTGCTTCGGCGATCTTGGTTAAAAACAGAGATACAAAAAAAAAAAAAATATATATATATACATAGCCTGCCAATTCATTCAGACCATCAGCAGCATTTATTGTGCGAGATGTAAATATATAGTGATGCTCCTGCGATTGTGGCCATATTTCTTTATTTTCATATACCAGCTGTGATTCATGCGTTGCCTGCCCTGTCAACCATGCTTAAAATGTTGGTTGAAGTTTCGCCTGTAGCTACCGGCCATACCTCAATATAGGTTCATATAAAAATTTACACTTCCTACAAAAAACACGCCAAAAGAATTAAATAGAAACGAGCGCGCCGTCAGCTAGCGTCGTCACAGCCTCCACAGGGTGAGCGGGTCGAGTCGGGAAAAAATTCTCTCCTCGCCGTGACGTCACCCCGGTTCGCCGTAAGGGGGCGCCACGCGAACTTCTCGGGGCTAATAGCTCAGAGCGGCTTTTGATTTCGCGAATGGTTTACAACTCCCCCGTGATGCGCGGTTTTGACGAAGGAATTGTGCTTCGAGGAATAGCAAAGGTACGTCGTAAAGTGTGCGAAGTAACTGGGTATCGGTTGTCATCGTTTTACATCGCAGTGCTGACGACGAGAAGACTGAGTTACTGCTTTCGAAAAGCAAATTTATTTACCTGCGGTGGAAGCTGGCTTTTTAAATAAATACAGTTCGCGAAATTCTCGCGTTAAGCTTTTATTTGTTGCTTGTTTTGACCTGTGTACTAGACGTAGTGTCCGAGCGTCCTCGCTAAGCCTTATTGAGCTCGATTCGCTCGATTCAGGGCCGCCATAATTAGATGCAGACGACGGAAAATCTTTGCTCCCCTGCTTTCAGGGACGAAAGCTTGTCCCTTTCTGAAGGAACACATATGTTACAGTGCGTTCCTTTCCTTAGGGAGGACTAGATAGAACCATTGTTCTAAGGGTCCATTTCATACCCAGGTGGCACAACGCCGTCTAAAGTGAAAAAAAAAAAAAAAAAAATAAACACACTTTTTTTTTTTTTTTACGGTCAAGATATATTTTTGTTTAGTTATACTCGGATTTTAGTTTCAGCTTTAAACGTAGCAAAATCGAAAACTAACGGCCCTAGAAGTCTGAGCACCATTTGCAGCGCCACGTCCAGATTCGAAGTTGTTCTTTAACGACGGTCTTTTTCGAAGGCGAACGGTAGCCATTAGCACAGTCCAACCGAAATGGCGACTGCTCCACCCGGACATGACTACAGGACATAATCACGTTGGATTGCCATTTGGGATACATTTGCATTAAGCCCATGGGCCGGCGCCGTGATGACTCATCAAGCGAGCGACCTTGAGCTCGTCAGCAGTGAAGCACGACCGCTACCACCACCGCTGGCCGTTTGTACACACTTGGGTCACCGATAAGCAGCGTGTTTCGGACGGGCACGGCAGTTTGTTCGCCGAGCACGTTCGTTAGCTCCATTTAAGGGCTCCCCACCTCTCTCGTTTCGTAGCTCGGCGAAAGCGCATTCATCCCGTTTATATTAGATGGGCTCGGGGTAGCTGGCTAACGACAACCACGGAGAGATTCTGAAGGACTTCGTGGCATGTCGGAGCGTCGGTAGTGACGAGACGGGCGAGAGGGCCGAGAGTAGAGCGACACCCTACGCATACATTCAACGTACTCTTAGCGGAGGCGCAAAACTCGTCTTAGAGAATAGGAAGAACGAGGGACGACTCGGCACAGAAGTGTCGAACACGACTGTACTTTGAGACTTCTCGGTGGTTTCATTTGAAATTGAACACGCGTATCGCGATGGGTATTTTATTTTGACTCAAAAAGATACATGCTGCAGCCTTACTTCCGTTAAAAGCAAAACCGACCTTCAAAGATTTGTAACAAAATTTATTTCGTTCCACTAAAATTTTTAAGGGGAGTAAGGTGTAATGCTACATTTCGGATGCTTGATTCTGTACCCAGTTTTTTCGGTTGGTATAAATAAGTAAAAACGAAAAAGTGCACAGTAATTTTTTTACAGAAGTTTATAATGCGCGGGTATTTTATAACTTCAATTAAACTTTTTTGGTGTATTTCACCTCAGAAAAAAAGAGAGAGAGAGAAAAAAAAAAAAGAAATGCTAAACATTGTAGTTTTCACGTTTTGGTGACAAATATGGAGCCTCGTTTCTTAGGATTCATCACAAATATTGCTTACTAAATACTGTACACCTGCAGTCCTCTATATGGGTCATCAACTGATTTCATTTATTTTTGCAAAGTAAATTATATGATATTTTTAAAAAAATCAGTCGAAAATTAAATTTAGCCATATTTCGAGCTTCCTTTAATAAATATGACATTTTTTTAACTCCTTTAGTATTTTTTTGCTATTATTCCCAATGATGTAACCTATTTTTTTGGCATAATCGGGGTTCCCCATTTTTTGTTGTATTTTCTGTAAAAGGTACCAAACACACATCCACGGACCCGAATCGACAAAATAGTAGTTTCGAAAGTTGTCTTTACGGCTGGGCTTTTTAGGCTCACAAAGCTCCGAGTGTTTGGGCGTGTGACGGGGTGGCGGGAAGTGCTGATGGAGAAGGGACGGCGATACGAGCGGTGTTATGTGGACGTGCCGCCATTAGAAAGAAACGTCTGCCCCGGCCCCCGACTCCTCCGCTGTTCCGACACCATGGCTGCGCGTGCTTTCTTTTGTTTTAACACGGAATGTGCTTTATGAGACTTTTTTTTTTATAAGAAAATGATCATGAACGAGCGTCATGAACGATAGAAACGCTAGGAGCGTCCCATACTTTAATGTTGTCCATGCTGTTCGCTGGGGCTCGAACCTGGGTCGGTGCGGTAATGAGCTGCATAGCACGGCATCTCTGGAAGGATCGGGTTACGGAAGAACGTGCCGGCGAGAGTGGCGTCACGTCATAGATTGTGACCACTCACCCGATTCATGTCACGCATTACGCAAGAACCATGCAGGAGCCATATGAAGCGCTGCTTCGCTCGCTATCGCCCTGGCTAACACCTGTAACGCAAAAAACAAAATTACCACGAACCACACGCAGAGTGTGTTTGTGCTATTGTCTCGCACGCCTATGGATCGCGCGAAACGCAGTCTGACCTCTCTGCGTGGTCATTGTCGCATTATCAAGCCAACGAGTTTTTTTTTTTATTTTTTTTATTTCTCTTTACTTTGAACGGTGACACTTCAGTCAGTGTGCATTTATATATATATATTTTAATCTCAGATTTGTGTATATATATTAATTTTTCTAGCTTTTGCCGCGTCTGTCTTCTGATTGCCGTGTCTGTGTTCGACACGCATGTTGGATTTCAGATGGAACCACCCTTCTGTGTCGTGCCTTCCCTCGTCCTCTGTAGTCAATTTCTTTCTTTTGCTAGAAGCGTTAGCAGCATCTGCGGTTCACTATTCGCGTCGCTTTTGGCCCAATTACGTTAAGTGTCGTTACCAAAACATCAACGAGGCAGAGAGGCTTAGAGCGATAAACTGGCAGCTGAAAGTGTCCCCCACCCGGCCGCCGCCATGTTGCACATTTTTGATAACTAGACACGTTACCGTTTTACGTCTAGATTCTGACGGAGTACCGCGCACGGATAATTGCTTCTCAATCTATAATAGCAGTACTGAAGTGATAAGTTATGTTTCGTTTGTTTTAAACCCAATATGTGCCTTTACGTCAAAAACTCGGATAGCTTTGCAATGCCTCCGCTAGATGCCGTCAGCTGCAGTGCTGTATTTGAGTTTTTATCAGAGCTAGACAGTCATCTCTGGGGCTGACCGTATTGAAATATTGTTTATCACGTTTTTTACAGCGATCGCATAACAAATCTCGGCTCAGGATTGCGCAAAAACCTCAGGATTGGGTGGTACGGTCACGTGTCTAGTGGTCAAAATCGTACAACATGGCGGCAGCCAAAGGGAGGGGGGGGGGGGGGGGGGGGGGGTCACTTTTGTCTGGTGAACGGGACACCAGTTTATCGTTCTAAGGTCCCTCTGCCTCACTGCAAAACATACACAATGATCCTGCCTTCCTTTCACCTCGCTGTTGTCATGCTTGTCATAACTCGCAGTTCCCCTTATTTTACATATTGAACCGTTTGTTTGTGAACTGAGTCCAATGCGATCGGGGATGGTTTCGTGAAGGGCATGATTTTGTTATTTTTACAAAAAAAAAAGGCGAATCAACACAAAATGATAAAGAAAAAAAATCTTGTTTTTTGGTTAATGTCAACAGCTGCAGCCATCTCTCGGCGTTTGAGTCACCCAGACGCCTTTCACTTGTAGACGGCTGCCTCTCCTGGCTTCCGCCTTTCCCTTCACCCTAATATGAACAAACCGTACGTAGCATATTCGCGTTCTTAATTTTATTCTAAACTTAACTCAGGTAACGCCATTCTGCTTGTGCTTTACACTTTTGCGTTTGCGTTTCCCTCCTTGTCCCCACACTCCAGGGTTAAAACAATGTTTATACTCAATCGGCTCCCCCGCACCCTCGCTTTAACTTCGACAAATTGTATCATCTTGGGCCACGATAAAGACAGTGGTAAATTTTACCCACGCTGTATAAATGCACTCATGGCTGGGGGGTTGTACGGCACGTGTACGCAGAGCCCGTCCCACCTTGCTCACGCGATGCCACTCGTGTCTGTCTGATTGTGCAGAGAATGCGACGCGGCACTGCTGGTCCAACGGCACCTGGGCCGAGAGGTCCGACTACTCCAACTGCCGACCTCTCCTCGAAGGCGTCAGGGAATCCGAGGTGACGATACAAGGACATTCTTTGCTGTCGCGTCTAACCACCCACATCTTGCTGTTTGCATTCTAGGGCCTATGCGGAGAGTATGTCGTCTGCTTCTTGCTCAGGAGTTGCTGTGACGTCAGAACGACGCCGAGCTACGATTGTCTTTGATTGGAAGGGTAGTGGGTAGACCTCAATGCTAGATGCCTTGAAGTGTACCCACTTTTTTTTTTTCAATCAGCCAATAAGAGCTCGGCGTTCTGACATCATCACAACCCCAAGAAGCAGACGAACTTCCGCTTCGCATAAGATTTCAGAGTTTCCAACAGCTCAATCAGGGTCACGTGGTTTCCGGGACGCGTTTGATCGTCTGCAAACGTTCTCGCCTTTCCGCCTTCTTTTCTCCTCGCCAGGCGACAACGCAGCGCATGCGCAGTTGCGACTAATCGGTGCAGGTGGCGTCCCCCGCCGTATACATTTCAGAAGCTCCTCATGATTTCAGTAAGCACCGTCTCTTCAAGCTAGGCTCTGTATTGCAATCCAGAGAGGGTGGCGCCACCAAGCGGGAAAGATGCAAAGGAAAGGGGGGGGAGCTCCAGCCTATACAAGTGTACAGCGCAAACTGGCACGGCCTTGTGGCCAAAATATGAATTTGAGGAAGGGAAAGAACTTACTTCCAACCACGAGGTTGGAGTTGACAATACTCGGGCCAATTTTGAGTGGCGTTTCGGGAGAAAAGTGCGTGTGCACAGCTTCGATCAACTCTCAAGGTGGGCACAGACACCAACTACTTGGGCTAATTGCTACAGAAAGTAGTTTCCAAGTATAATATGAGGAAGTGCAAGGCCACCTACCTATGCCACTATCGGCAACAATATGAGAGGGAAAGTGCATCCTTATTATTTTCTATTTCACGGCTCCCACAACCCTCGTTAAACCTTAACTTGTCATATAGCATGTACTTTGGGATGTCTACTTTCTGTTCTAGGCTTCGTTTGGATCATAACATGTTCCGAAATGTGTAGCTACATAAAAAAAAAAGCGAGGAACTTTATTTTTTTTTTTTACATTGTTCCCTAAGTATGTCTAGAACGATTGTCTCACAGGTGTGTTTATGAAGTCTGCATTTTGGCCCCTTGATTTCTGCCTGGTGACGCCACAGCTGGACAATTTTGTAGGTCACTGTGCGGTTTTGCTGGTGGCACCGCAGGGAAGGTTGAATACGGCAAAGCAGAGCCGTACATAAAGAGGGTTTGGCCATACATTCGGATGTATAGGCGGCAAATGAGGAAGCGCCCTTGGCCGAAAGTGGGCTGGGTGTGGTCATGGAGTTTTTCACAAATTCGAACGTGGCCAGCAAGAAGCCGCAAATAGTACTCCCGCGGTGGTCGCGAGAAACAAAATTAGTAAGTCCGTCGCAGTAAGTCTCGATGACTGAAAACATGGGGCACGTGAGGTTTCAATCACTGTCATGCAAAATCATAGTGGGAGATATTGAAAGATCTAAGATATTAAAATCGTGCCCGACGAGCAAAACGATTGACGTAATCCGTATACCAGGCGCCGAGGGCTGGGAATTTGCCGTCCGAGTGGTTTCACCCCGTCCGAGCAGAATAGAGTTCGAGGGGCACATTCGTTTCTCACAACTTTTGCAGGATCATAATCGAAACGTCGTGTACACCATATGTTCCACCATGAGGAGTTACGACATTTACTTCTTACAAACTTATTGAAACTGTTTCTCGCCACCACCGCTAGAGGATTCTTTTCGGCTTCTGGCTGGCCAAGAGAGCATGCCAAATCGTTCTGCGTCTGGTGCACGCCCTGGCTTTACTCGCTCCTCACATTGACCCACCTCTCTCCATATACTGCCCTGCGGCAAAGGCCTGTTCTACTGCAGCTCGCCCCACATGCGGCCAATCGAAGGAAACTACAGCAGCCACGAATTTGAATGCCGCAATAATAGGGGCGCCGGCGTCTGCTCGCCTTCCTCCATGGTACTTGTACAACTGGCCTCAGGATCGTGACACAAGCCGTAGCATTGCCTAGACTCTAGAGAGCCTAGATTTAACATAAAGAGAGAGAGAGAGAGAGCGCGAGAGTGATTGAGAGAGCGTGGGTGAGAATGTGAGTGAGTGAGAGAGTGAGTGAGTGAGAGTGAGTGAGTGAGCAAGTGAGAGTGTGTGAATGAGAGTGTGTGAGTGAGTGAGTGAGAGTGAGTGAGTGAAAGTGAGTGAGTGAGTGAGAAAGAATGAGAGAGAAACACAGAGAGAAACTCTCAAACCATGGATAACCTTTTCAATTTAATAGCGGGCGCCTCCTCAGCAGATTGGCAGATTGGTTGCTTACGTGCACGCGTGCGTGGCCGCGGAGCGAAGAGCATAGCAGGTAGAGAGGCTGAGCACTTGGAGACGCTCAACGCTTTGGCCACCTCCTCGCGGATTTTATTGCAAATGCGGCCAATTAACTATCTGTCCGAGAGCAAGCAGTTGGAAACACTCTCATATTTAGTCACCCTACCGTTGCCCGGCTGCTCTTGTGACGGATTTTATTGAAACTTTGGGCGCGCTCCGATGCGTGGCCGGTACAGCCGACACTGGACGCTAAATAAATTGATCGGAGATCCGTACTAGGCGCCATGGCTATCAAACGAACTTATTGTCCCGTGGTGTTTAAACAAGGAGAAGCAAGTGGTTATCAATTGACTGCTGAGATAACTGCATCCCGTCTTTCCTCCCTGAATCTCTAGACGCACCTGGACGAGACAACGCTGTACTACATCGGTTACGGCCTCTCGTTGTTTGCTCTTTCCGTCGCTCTATGGATATTTCTTTACTACAAGTAAGTAAAAAGCTAGGTATTTTATACACCGTACACAGTATGGGCTTTTTCCGCAGATCGCACCAGTTAATTTTAAAGACCGACCTCCTCAATAGAAGAAGGTTGGAACCCTATCCTCCTTTCCCTCCTCGCCATTCCTCCCGTCCGAAGGAAGGAGCTACCCCCTCCTCTCCTTGTCACCATTTTCCACTTACTCGGTGTTACGAAAAATAAAATAGATGTAGATGATGCATGATCACCCATTTTCTAGCAACAGGGCAGTGTATCGCTTAGTATTTGTACAAGAAGAAAGTAGAAAGGTGGGGAGGGAAGGAAGAAGGATAGGGGATGGAAATTCAAGCCTACGAGCTGCGGAAACTCCGACTGCGATATATTTCTATAAAAACATAAATTCATATTGCACGCAGAAAGCCGGGAGGGAACGTTACTGCATACTTCTAGAATATTCGCGTTTACTCTTACCCCCGAGTGACCGACACTCGACAATTCTAGGATGAATGTTCGAAATAGGAAGTGCAAAAGATAAGGAGGTCTGCACGGCCTTGCCGAGTCAGTCTCGCCCTAGAGTCCGACGCTCGAACATTCTAGGCCAAATGTTCGAGATACCGAGTGTACTTGATAAGGAGGCCAACATGACCTTGGCGAGTCAGATACTCGCGCCTTAGCCAACTGTCACGCCGACGCCGCGACGCTCGCTGCGGCTTTCTCGACGCGCGTCCTTTCTTCTGTTCTTGGCAGAAGTTCGCCGATTATACGTATACTTTCACTTTCAAGCTCGTCGCCCCTTTTCCACCCGTGACAATATACAGGGTGATTCAAGGAGACGCCAGGCTCTTGAAATCGACCGCAAAATGCGGTTTCTTAAAGGGGCAATGCAACGATTTTTGTACTCTGCGTAAATACCGCTCAGGACGAATCCCTGACGCCAATGAAGTATGCAACACGCGATCGTTTTTCACCACGCGCAGTATCAGTCGCAGAAAAAATTAAAGAAAAACGAGCAGCGTTCACGTCCTCAACTCGCAGCCAGAACAAGCGGCCACCTGATCTGGAGCCGATTATATGCCGCCAATGTTAATCGTAGCCACGCGCTGGGGTTGGCAAGCCACAGGACACGCGCTGAGTTTCAGACATTGTATGCCTCGGGCACGGTGTAGGAAGGGCTATTGTCGTCATCGCAGTGATTGGACACGGACCACCACCCCAATGCTTCTCGAGCTATCAATTATCACGAGCCCAAACCGAGTGCTCACGCAATGCTCGGGTCCAATCTATGAGCCGCATTCAAATATCGTCCCTGGAGGATGCTGCTACCACCAGGGTACGCCATCAAAATTTGCGAAGGAGAGATTGAAAGAAAACGCTGGCTTTTCTCCTTGAAATTACACCGCAACAAAGAGGTTTCTTGGTCAGTGGCGTTGCGTGCGAGTGTGCTTGGGTCTCACTAGTGCCAGTAAGCTCATACAAAACGAAAAACACTCAAAGCGAATATCGTTGCACTTCCCCTTTAACCTATCGCGCTACGACTTTGTGTAGCGTTGCCTACAGATGGTGCATTTTTTTGTGTAAAATTTGCAAAGAGCGAACTTACCCGAGGAAAAAGTAAAGAAAGAAAAAGGCTTAGCTCCTATGGCAACGCAGCGACACCATTAGTCTTCAAACAACACGGCACCGTTTCGCACGGGAGACAAGAGATGGCGCAAGCGGTCGCGACGCCAACTGCCGCCAATGAACGAGCATACGACACAGAGAGCCGGCGTCTTTAGCAGACAAGAAACTGCAGTTCATTGTTGTTACCGCGACTGTTTTTGTTTCTGCGACTGTCGCCGCCTGCGGAACGCGCGCCGCTTTTGAGTCGAAAGGATTGTCTGCTAAAGACGCTGGCTCTCGGCGCCGTATGCTCGTTCGTCGGCGGCGTTGGTTGCGCCATCTCCTTGTCTCCCGTGTGAAACGGCGCCGTGTTGTTTGAAGACCGGTGGCTTCGCTGCGTTTCCATAGGAGCTGAGCCTTTTTCTTTCTTTACTTTTTCCTCAGGTAAGTTCGCTCTTTGCAAATTTTACAAAAAAAAAAAAAAAAGCACCATCTGCAGGCAACGTTGCACAAAGTCGTAGCGTAGGTTAAGAAACCGAATGGACCTTTTCCGAGAAGCGTTCTGCGCACGCGCGAGCGCCCGATGCCAAGCGGCGGAAGTTGGCACGATAAATCGAGGAAATTCGGAATGAGGCTGTAGATCGACGAGTAGAACACGTAACTGCAGCATATATATAATTGTGTTACACAAAAAAAAAAAAAAAGAAGGTGGACGGAAAGAAAAACACGACGTTTGGGTGGACGCTACGGATTTCCCTCTTTAAAGCCGCGTTGGGCACGTGACGCAGCTCAGAGAGCGAAGCAACTGGTAGCGTAGCTCCCATTCTCGATTGGTAGCGCAGGTAGGTCACTTCCTCGATTTTTAGTTCGTGCAGCCACCGCCTGGTGCCGTCGGTATTTAGAAAAGGTCCATATGGCGGTCGATTTAAAGAGCCTGACCTCTTTTTGAATCACCTTGTAGAGTCCCCGCCAGCTGGACAAACACGGGGCGTGGCTTATCACGTTTCCTGATTCGTTCTTTCATTTTCTTATCGACTGATGCCGCTAGCTAATTGGCTATATTGATAAGATGGGCTTGCCCCGCCCTGCGTTTCTCAAGGTGTAATTGACTGTAGGTACATAAGCAGCGAGCGTGAAGGGTGAAGATGCTCCTAATGGGCCTGTGTCTTGCTGCTTTCTTTTCAGAGATCTGCGGTGCCTGCGAAACACCATTCACATTAACCTGATGATAACCTATTTTCTCATCTCGCTCACCTGGATTGTCACCGCCACGCTCCAGTCAGTTCCGTCATCCGGCTTCCACAGGGTGCGTGAGTAGTTTTACCTAAAACGAAGCTCTTGCGTGCATACTTCTCTACGACATACTCGAATCACCAATCATGGGTAGTCCTTTAATCAGTTTGGCCAATGAGAAGGGCCAGTATAGTAACGCGCCCCGATAGACACGCGTTCCCAGTGGCGAAATGGTGTCCGCCCATTTGGCCACTGGGGCGATGGCTCCTGAACGCGTCGGCGACTGGCGTGTTTACCGAGTCCTCAAATGTGGCCATTCCATTTTCCGCCTGGTGACGCGTAAGTTTCAGGCTGTTGCCCGCCGCGATACTGACTGTAGCACAGGGATGAGTTGGTTACGGCAGATAGTCCACGGGAACTTCTGCATCCAGCAGTCCGAACCCCTCGACGACAGCGACACTCGTGTTCGCTTCGCGCTTTGCCTTAACTTGTACGCTAAAGTACCAGAATCATGACATCCGACAGTGTTACACGCCGGCTTCTGTGATGTCATTTGTTGGATTGTCGGGACCCCTTTCGATGCAATGGGCGTAACGGGACGCTAAACACACCATTTGAAGACGCGTTCCAGGCCGCATGGACCCTGAAGGGTGGTGCCGCGATGGCACTTCTACAGCCTGTTTCCGACAGCTATTTAGGCGTAAACATATTTGTATTTAATAAACCAACGAACTGCGGGCAATGAAACTTTTCTAAAAGATGTCTCCTAAGTGGTGCATTTATCCTACTAAAATTTTATGTGTGTACGTTTCAGGAAAATAATTGAAGCATAAAAAAAAAAGAAACATTTTTTTTTTTTTTTATGCACAGGACGGAAAACGCATGAAACTGTATAGTTGACGCCGCTGCGTCTAGATGGCACAACATAAAGCAAAAAACGTGAAAGCTTCTTTTAAAATCTGAAAGCAGATTCAGCAGATTCGGTGTCCTGTATCGACGAGTAGCAGCGTGAACCAGGCATGTTTTGCGAATTCATTCCTTGTGCATGGGAACAAACCGTTTTTTTTAGGCTCAAGATATTGTCCTAAAACCTACACTCATAAAATTTGAGCATGATAAATACACACCATCAGTGCACCTTTGGAAAACGTTTCAACGCACTCCGTTAATTGGTTTATGTATGCGAATTTATTTATGCCCAAACCACATTTCGTTTTTTCAAGTGTACACCGGGGACTGACCTCTGAGAGGTTACAGAGCTGTAAACAATGCAATTTTCTCCTCATTGTTGGTCAGGCAGTATTAGATTTGTTTCTTTGATTCACATCTCTATTTCGCAAACAAGTTGAGTGGTTGCAGTGCAAGGAAAAAGGCAGGACTCGAATATAATTCCTCCACTGCTAAGGTTGTCTCGAAGAGTGCAACACTGCCAACGCGGGAACCCTTTCGGAATTCCAGGCGGCCTGTTTCCTGTACATCGTGCTCACCTACCTGATGGGCACCAACTTTTTCTGGATGTTCGTCGAGGGCCTTTACCTCTACATTCTGGTCGTCAAGACCTTCTCCGTAGAAGTGTTTCGCCTGTACATCTGCCTCTTTATCGGCTGGGGTAAGCAAAGTTTGTACGCTTCGTAAAAATACAAAACACAAGAACGCGAGGATAGAGAAGACATATGAGGAGGCGACCTTTTAACATCGTGAATTCCCGATATCCAGGACGAAAAATATGAGCAGCACACGCACAAAAGTGTCACCAGACAAACTGCGCGATTTCTACCCTTTCCATCGCCCTTAGACCAGACTAAAAATGTCGGGTCTCTGGGCTGTGGACGCATGCTGGGCGTCTGATGTCGTTTAGCAGAGAAGTACTGCCCATGCTCAGAACGGGTACCACAGCCTAGTGGACAAAGATGGCGGCACGCAGAAGGCGATTATTGGAATTGTCTTTAGGGTTGCCAGACATAACAAATCAAAATAATCCAAATGTTAAGCATATCTTGCAGCATTGTGAAAAAGCGCCAAAACAATAAAAAAAAAATCCTTTGTTTACAAAGGCCAAACAAACAGCCTTTATATATTCTGCCCTGCGTACTTGAGCAATATCCTTGTGAATGAGATTTCGTACGAATATATAGGAGCGCCCAGAAATCAATATGCAATTATTCACCTGTTACACGCGTGCTCTCATCCTGGCTTTTAAACATCTTGGAGTAAGCAATAGCATATCGAGTTTGTCTATAAAAGATGTCATTATGAAAAATACATGCCTTTCGAGTACTTGCGCGATGATTGGTAAAACAGAAATGAGTCGACAATTCTCGATGTTACCTTTAGCACCACCTTTGTAAGAGGGACAAACCATTACCGTTTTGAGCTCATCAGGGATGACTTTGGCTCTAGTAAAGTCGTTCAGCATCAAAAAGACAAATTTGATACTGTGAAAGTTTCGGCAAAAGTCGGACAAACGAATATTGTCTATTCTAGGGGACTTGTCTGGCTTGGCGCTGGGTAAAATAGAGTACAAATAAGTTTTTTGGAGCGGAGCAAGAAATGCAGAGGAGGTGATGACGTTTTCAATATGGGTTGGCGAATATTGTCACGGGTGGTGACCAAAAACAATAAATAAACAAGAAGAAATAAACGTTTAATGTGGCGAACTTGTGCCAAAAATAAAAAGGGTACAAAAGGCAATAACAGAGCGTCGCGGGCGTCGAAGTCGGCGTGACAGCAGAGTCGAACGCTGGGGCGAGACTGAAAGCAGATCGCCACGCGGAGCCCCTATGTACACGTGTGGGCTTCTGGAATAATCGGCGTAGAAGGTTCGGCGTGTAGAACATTCCGACCTCGAACAAGCAACATGGTTCTCGAATTTACCAGAACATTACTTTACAGAGTCAACAAAAAATGTGCCTCCGCGGCCAGGAATCGAACCCTGGCTTTCAGCGTGGAAAGCAGGCGCGATAACCGTTAGGCCACGCGCGCGCTACCTACTTGGCCAGCTGCGCGCGCGGCAATATCTTGCCTGACGTACCAAGGAAAGCATTGAAATGTTCTACAATTGGACGTAGATTGCTGCCAAATTGTTTCTTCAGTGAATCATGAATAGAAGTGTGCGGTTTGTGGCCACGAAACTCATTGATCAGGGACAAAGGGGTTCGTGCGTCCGAATGAAATTCTACGAATCTATTCTGATAGTAAGTGCGCTTGGCCGGCAGAATCATTGGGTGGACTTTGTTTCCAGAAGATTTGAAATCTACCTTCAAATGGGGGGCAAATTTCCGCTTATGGTCAAGAAGTCCAAAGAGTCAAAAGGTCCAACGAGTCAAGAGGTTCAATAGCGACGTGACAGCCGAGTCAAGAGGTCCTACGAGTCAAAAGGTCCAATTCGAGTCAAAAGGTCCATCGGGGTCAAGAGGTCCAACGAGTCAAGATGTCCAACGCGTCAAGAGGTTCATCGAGCCTTATTTTTATCTTCTCTGTTTATAATGATATTGCTATTAATTGGGGGGGGGGGGGGAGGGACTGCTTGTGACGGTTTCTGACTGTTCGAACTATTTGAATTATTTTGGACAATACAAGTACTACATAGCCATTGGAGACAAATAGACAGATACTATTTGACACAAGGTATATGTATTTGAGTGTTAAATAATGGATAGTGCCTGGTGACATATTTTGGACTTGTAGAACTTAATATCTGTGTTCCAGTCTCTCTGTTCTAGGACTCAGTTATGCCATCTCTACGGAAGTCTCTCTTAAATTCCCGAGATATAAACTACAAATGTACCTCAGCCCCATTTCGCGTTTAGCCTTCCCTTTCATGTATCTCAGTATTTGTAATCGCAAACACTTCCTTGGGTAACTTTGTCCAGTCCCGGGCTCTCGTATGTTCTATTAAAAATATGATGCACTACTATTTTATGCTTTAGTTTTTATTCACTGAGTTTACCGAATCACTAAAGAGGTAAATAACACAACATAGAAAGAAGCTCAAATATCATTGGAGGGCGTCTTTAAACGAGCCCAGATTATGCCACTTGGCGTCCAATAGAGTGTTTCAAACGAATGCGAGCATTGGTCTGCTTGAAACGTTGTGACCGGTGCAAGCTATAGCGGGTTAATTTGGGCCGTTGGCTTACTCAAAAGCACGGAGCAGCCACAAATATTTATGCTAGCTATATGTAACCCCTTTACTGCTCTTTATTTTTGAGAATGCTGTGAAATAAATCATGAAACTGAACGTTTCATGATTAAGCATTCTTGACACGAATTACCGAACACTTGTCTGTAAATATAATTTATTTCTAGTTAAAATTACGCGATGTGTTAGTCGGCTGGAATTGTAAGATGGTCGGTTAGTTGCTCACTAATTTTTAGAAAATTGGATTATAAAGACTGAAGTCGATTGAAGAATTGTTCGTGTCGGAAAGCACGTCGACCTTTGAAGCCGATAGATCTAGTGTGTCCAGTGCTATAGCTAAAATAGGCCACGGCGAACGGAAAAAATGAGTAACTTTACACGCCATCTGCGCCAGGCCAAACTGTTTCTCCAAGCTCCTCGAAGACCAAGGACTTCAAAATATCAATGAAGCTATTTTGACGGGACGTAAACAAATTATATTAATTACTACAACTTTTAAAAATGATGGCACAGAAATTAAGAGAAAAAAAAAAAAACTGTGTTAATTTATCCTGAGGTCAAACGCCGTAATAGTGCTTTAATGTGATGGTAGACGTCGAAATAGCAAATAACTATGGACATATATTTAGTATATGACGAAAGATGTGTTCAAAATGGTTTTACAATTATTTCGAACCCGGATGTCGAAGTATACTTCGTTTCAGCTTCGGTCCGAGCGCGGCCGATGTTATGAGCCGAAGGGCCAATCGAACGGCGAACGAGGCACAACGTCATGGCGTGCTCTCTGCAGTTCATAGGACCAGCCGGTATTCGCCGTCTCTCTGTGCATGCTTCTCCGCCGGCTAATCTTACCAAGCGCAGAGAGCACGCCATGACGCTACGCTTTTTGCGCTGTTTGATTGGCCCTTCGGCTCATAACATCGGCCGCGCTCGGACCGAAGCTGAAACAAAGTATAGTCACTTCTTAAAAAAAAAAAAGAAAAAAAAAAGGCTTTTCAAATTGTGAATTGCTAAGACCTTTCCGGTTGCGTGTTCGATATTCGAGGGAAAGAGCAACACGGGAGATGCAGATTTCCGACTTTGTGGTCAGCGGTAAAAGAGCGAAGTCACACAGGTCCGCGACAAACGAATGTTGCTATAAGCTTGACGTTTATAACAACAATGATTTCTGGTGTTTACAAATCAAGTGCCCAGCATCTGTCGCTTTAGAAACCAAGCCAATCACGGGTTATACGCACGAGCTCTGATTACATCACCGGCCAGAAACGATTCATCAAAGCCGTGTTCGTGAGATCCCCCCTGCCGTGTGGAAGTCTTCACAGCTCAACTTTTTGCTCTTTTTCCGACATTTTTCTTCTCCGCCTTTATTGTCAGCATCTCTGTTGTCTGCTCTTTTAATGCGTGAGCATTATCTGGCTCAGTCAGCGAAAAAGCCGTCGACAAAATCCGTCGTCAAAATCTGTGACTTGTCCAACACAATCCAACATAATAAAACAAAAAATATCTTTCGTCACGTGATCTCTCTGGTCACGTGATTTCTCTGGTCACGTGACCAAACAAAACAAAAAAAGATCTGTGGTCACTTTAACCAAAAAAAAAAAAAAAACTCTGGTCACGTGACCTCGATCCTTGGTTACGTGAGTACGAAACCATTCCTTGCCTGCTTTCGAACCTAGGCCCTCTTGATCGCGCAACTAGAGCGCTATCCGTTGAGGCAGCACAACTCAGGAAAAGCTAGTGCTCGTGCATTCTCGCATCGCAAGAGAAAGCTTAGGTGCCCTCATAACTTTTTTTCTCATTTTTTGCCTGTACTTTTTCCACACCCCTTGCCTGTACGTATTTCACACCAAGAGATGCAACGAGTCAAGCTATCCAATATTGGACCTCTTGACGCGTTGGACCTCTTGACGCGTTGGACCTCTTGACACATCGAGGCACGAGTCAAGAGATCCAATATGGGTCAAGAGGTCCAACGAGTCAAGAGATCCACGGCGAGTCAAGAGGTCCAACACGTCAGGAGGTCCAACGCGTCAAGAGGTCCAATATTGGACCTCTTGACGCGTTGGATCTCTTGACTCGGAATCGCAAATTTCGAGGCCAGTGACGACAACATGCCCATCATGTATTTTTCTCTGCTACTGCTTCCAAAATATTGGGATTGAGCCATAAAAAGTCAGGGTTACGTTTTATCTTATATATATTACTTGTTGACTTGATTTATAAGACTGGTTGAAGAAAAGAACAAACCTCTGAGATACATCATTAGCAGGCTGACTCCACAAATGCGGCCCAGATAAAAGCCGAAACCAACTGGTCAAAGGCATTGCTATTTATTCTGCTTACTTTAGCGTGGCCGGGTAATTTGTGCGAAATCCAGGGACCAGCGGAGACCTGGCAAGCGACAAAGTAGCTGTCAGCAGTTTTTTTTTTTTTTTTGTAATTATTGTTAATTTAACGGCCGACGCAGT